GATCATATCATCAGCAAATAGGGATAGTTTGACTTCTTCCTTACCAATTTGGATGCCTTTGATTTCCCTTTCTTGCCTTATGGCCCTGGCTACAACTTCCACTACAGTGTTGAATAGAAGTGGTGATAGTGGGCATCCTTTTCTGGTTCCTGTTCTCAAGAGGAATGGTTTCAGTCTCTCTCCATGGAACAATGTTTTTGTGTAGTATGTTACGCCAATTGAGCTTGATGTCCCCAGCGACCAAGGTCGAAATTAGGGAGCCTCCTGCAGTTCACCTCTCCCCCACGGCTCCCACTTAAAAGTGAAGTCTGGTTCTGGTGGATATGGAGGAGGGTGGTCTAGGAATTTAAGGGGTCATAAGGATCCCCTCCTCTGGTTAATACCAGGGAAGGAGCTAAAGGCTGCTTGCTCTTAGTCTGAACATAAATTTTACAAGCTTGTTGACTTTCTTTATCATTGTACAAAGATATGAAGGGCTCTATTTTCTTGTTTTATTTGCTAATGCAGGAACAAAAGAAATCCAATTGCAAAATAGTATTACAATTTACTGACCTATAAGGCAATCACAATTTTTGGGCTCCTAGTTCATATTGTGGTCACAGAACTGTGCTTCAAAGGACCAGCCTTTTCCTTTTTTCCTGGGATCATAACCAAATTTGTTTCAATGTTTTAAAATATGTTCTAGAGAAGGGCACTCTTGCATATTCTGGCTGTTACCTGTCTCAAAACTGGTTACAAAAGAAACAGAAGCAGAAAAATCAGAACAGAAAAGCCAGCAAACAGACAGGTTAGTTTAATGGTGTTAATACTTACTGCAGTAAATATTCCTTTCATATCCCTTGGTAGGATGCTGGGGGCTGCCACCCTCGACAAAGACAACCTGCTTGGATACCACGTGCTGCCACCCACAATGCAGGCTGAGCAACTTCAAGTTTGGTTACAAACACGAATCTCTGATCAAAACAAGCATAAGCTTACCTGAAGCAAAATTCTTTGCTGCCTCCCAAAGAGACATCCTTGGATCCAGGCCAAGTCCTCCAGGTCACAGTTTAAAGGCTCTCTGGGGGAAATAAAAAAAAAAAAAAAGAAGAAGGCTCTTTCGGCCTCAGAGGAGGATGGTGGCAAGGGTTCTCCCCTGCCGTGGCAGACATGGGACTGGACATCAAATGGCACCCCTGGCTGACTAGCCAGGAAAATGCAACCATGAAGGTGGGTCCAGGTTCTGTTTGGCGCAGCTGACAGATCCACAGACTCAGGCTGAGGACAGAGAAGAAACTCTATTAATGAACGTCTGGGACTGCTGTCACCAAGGGAGTTCAACAGGGCTGCAAGTCACTCTTACCTTGAAGCCTCCTGTAGAAAAAAATAAAGTAGGAAAAGAAAAGATGGGGTCCAAGTGTGAACCTCCAAAGAGAAGGTGGGTAAGGTGCAAACAGCTCTGCTAAAAAGAAAAACAAAAAAACAAACAAACAAGAAAACCAGCTCTGGCTTAAATGTTCTGTTTTCACACATGAGAGTCCCTCTGACAAATCAAACAAAGTTCTTTAAGTGTAATGCTTGGCAAAGTCAATAAATAACAGTACGAGCTTGCTATGCTTACTTTATACATAAAAAAACCACACAAACGACTCATACAAAAACAAAACACAAAGCCACACTCACACACCAAACGCTCCAGAGACCCTAACCTGAAACAGTACCCCCATTGAGCCAAGTCATCCTTCCTCTTCTGAACGATCTAAGGCAGGGTTCCCTCACGGACCATCAGCTAAGCCTTCGGTCCTCCCAGGAAGGAGCGGTATTATTGTGACTAGGAGCGAGCTACTCCCTCCGTCCCTAATCCCGGTCCTATGGCGCCCAAGAAAAGGGTAGGGGACTTACCAGAAGCCAGCACCTGAACTTTTCCTTTTGCTTTTCCTCTTCTATGCGAAATGGAGTGGTAGTGCCGCCCGAGGACAGAGGCAGTGAGCAGTCTGCCTGGGAAAAGAAAATGCCACTTAGAGCAGGCCACCCATGTATCAATCCAAGACCGGGGCCACCACGTCTCTGGGGGCAAAAAGTCCACCCAGCGATGCCAGAAATCTGTTGTAGGAAAACAAAGTCCTTACCCTCTGTGGCAAAGAGCCAATGATCACATCAGGTTGAAGAGGAAAAGCAAAAGTTTTACTGACTATCAATACCGAAGGAGACAGTGAGAATCATTTCTCTAAAATGTCTGTCTCCCCGAGCAAAGGGGTAAACGTGATTATATAGGGAAATGGGAAGGGGGTTGAAGATCTCTTGGACTGCCAGGAATGTCTTTGTTCTTCTCTTCCCTGGTTAGGCCAGACTCAGCGTCCCTCTTCCCACGGTCGTCTTGCTCCATAGGTTTACAATTTTTAGCCAAGACCTGTCTTGGGAGAGGGTTAGGCTTAAAAGAATACACAATTGAAAATAGGAAATCTAAAGAACCCATCCTCTGTAAAAAGGACTGGCTATTCTATTTACTTCAAAGGACACAAAAGGGAGGGAAAAGTAGGTTAGTCCCTATAATTAATATCCACTTTAATCATGCCTGCTAGCCTGGGAATATATTGCAGTTTGCAGTGAGGGGCCCCTTCAGCCTTCCAATTCAGCCTTCCATACAAGTACTTGTAGCCCACTTCGGGTGCCGGTATATTTACTCCAATTGCCGGTGAGTTTGATTGACTTCTCCGTAACAATACTACTAAAGATTGTACAACTCAGTATTTTGTAAATATAAAAAAATCAATGAAAAAATTAAAATGCTAGCTGAACATTATTTAGAGATCTGAACATTATAGATCTATAAATAATTAATGGAATATTTTTTATGGATCATTGAAATTAAGTATTAAATTAATATATTTGATTCTCTAGTTTTGTCTTCTTCTGGAATTAATTTCAGTCCCTGTTCCCTACTTGAGTCTTAGCCAGATAGTAATGACTAACATTTATGGAAGGATTACTACATGTCATTCATTATTCTAACTAATGTATATGATGATATGGATTAAATTATGTCTCCCCATAATATGTATTGAAATCCTGGCCATATGCTGTCACGATCCAATCACATGCTTTAATCAGTTGACCTTGGGCAAAGCAGATCATTGCTATAATCTAATATAATCTAATCAATCAGTTGAAGTCATAGCAGTGTAGGGTGGATTCTAAATCTTACTGGTTCTGAGTTATAAAAAGAGCAGATTAGATGTATAGGGGAAGACAGATACCAAATGAAGATCATTAAGGTATGTCTAGGAGCTCTGGTAGCATAGTGCCTAAGGCACTTGACTGCTCACCAGAAGGCTGGCAGTTCAAACCCACCAGCCACTCCT